ATCTTTCTTCTCTAACCAGTTCTGACGTTCTTTGTACAAGCCTCTATCATCAACTTCATTATTATCACCTTTGGTCAGAAACTTGATGTTCCCATTTTCTCTAGAAGGCAATGAGGTGATAAACTAAATACCACTTAAATAAAAACCTTCAATTAATATCTGTAAAGCACAATGAAGATGAAGAGTGCTACGAGATTAGATAACAATGTTTACTTCCAGCCCTACTTGTCCTGCATATTTAACAAACACCATTAAATCATTAACGGTACTTACATTAACAGACTTTACTGACAGAGTTAATAGACTTTAACATGAAATGTTTTTTTAAAACACACCTAGATTGTAATTTGATGCAAGCAATTACACAACAGGCAGGAAAGGGATGTTATCCATCCAGAGCAGGCTCTAATTTCCTCAACAAAAGCAGTATGTGCCGGTTCTATGATTCTCTCTGGGTAAAAAAACCCAACCCTCTGCATTTTCAACAGAACAGAAATCTAACTCCGAAACATTGAATAATACTCTACTAAGAGCTTTATTTTCTTTCTTTTCTTTTTTTTTTCCAAAATTGTGGAATAGGATCCTGTGAAGTTATCACATATCTGAATTTAAACCACAAACTGCACAAGGTAGGCTCTAAAAATTCTCCCTCAGGAAAAAAAAAGCCGTGTAACAACACAATGCTTTAGCCAATTTTCCTCTAAGTTCTACACACTCATTTAACACTTAGTAGTCATATTTATGTCAAAATAAAGCTTTGTCCTTCTTTTGATGGAAATAGATATTTAAGACCCTCTAAAGTAGCTGCAAAATTTCACTATTTTGTCACTAACACTGCCATATGGTTTTAGGTCAACTCATTACTCATGAAACAACAAAGTTCCCCCCAGGATGGACACCTGCAGAGCTGAGGGCCAGGATGCTCCCTGGGAGCCCAAGCTGAGATCCTGACCTCTCCCGGCCACCCATCACTTAGTCCTTTTTGTGGGAACAGAGTCTTTAACACCCTGAACACGGCCAGGCCCTCACTGCTCCCTGCTGCCTCCAATGAACAGAGTACCTCGCACTGTGTCTTGACCAACGGGCACAAAAACAGTAAGAGTCTCTCCTTCCACTCCCAGTCAGACCTCTTTGTGCACAACTCCCGTTCGCAAAGATCACACGCCTGTCAGCACTGATCTATAGTTCTGATTCTGAACCTTCTTCTTTCAGAGATTTGCTTTTGAAAGTAGTTATTTCTCATAACCAAAATCCCAGTTCTGCTGCTGAGTGGACTCTGCTCCCGTACCTGCTGCTGCTGCTGGCAAAAATGAACAAGTGCAGTGTGTGTCACTGGCATTCCCCTGGCACAGTTACCCTACTGCCAACCGGAGCAACTCTGCTGCAGGACAGGAGTCAAAGTCTCAAGAAGTGTGCCACAGAATCGGGGACAAAAGTGGGCCACATCCTAGAAGCAAGTTTTATCTTACAGCAGATCCTCACTTGCCTTTTTCATTTTTTTTTTTTTTTTTTCAAATTAAAATGTAATGGAAAGTCATGAAGAAGTAAATGATATTTAGAAATGAAGAGAAGGCCAAGCTGCATTACTTTTCATGTATTTTGATCACTCTGTGAACTATTGGAATGTCTCTGCCTTCAACTTTAAAAACAACTATTTCACCAGCTCTGATTGGGTCATCATGAAAATTTGTTAAGAACAACAGGTCTCCTCTGTGAAAAGCTGGTTCCATGCTGCCACTATAAATAAAAAGAAAGAAAGAGTTGATTAGCATTATGGTAAACGAATGGACCATGAAAACAAAGAGCACTTAATTCTTACAGATAAACTCACAATTTTAACAGGAATCCATAGCTTTACCCATTCAGTAACACTACAAAGACAACTAACAACCCAAACCTCAGGGAGTCCCAGTCTGAGCCAACCTACAGAAGACTTCCTTACCGCCTCAGTGAAAGAAAGAAAGAAGAAATAAAGTAACAAAAAAATGTTTCACAGTACAACAGAAGTAATTCTCTATACAGAAAGATCTTAATTAATGTAAGCAAGAGCTATGCTTACATCAGCAATTACTGTTAACAATCAGAAAAACCATGCCTTTTTTTCCAAAGCTAGCCATAGTATCTTTTGGGAACAACCTTTACGGTATGATTCCAGATCCTACACTAATAACAGACAATTCCCATTAAAACACTGTCATTTACTGCACACATTCCTTGCTGACACACACAATTTCTGCAAGGCTGAATACTCCATGAACATGTGTTTCCTCATCTATTTGATCAGCATGCAGGGGCCTGCAGGGTTAGCTCTTCACACTTCTGGTGTCTACCAGAAGCAAGACACCACTGAGAGTGAAGCAACAAGTATAATTTACTCATAAGAGGCGTTTCACTGTAACTCAATTTTCAAATAAATATACATATATGGTTACAAAACCCCCACCCAAATCCAAAGAAATAGATCAGAAAGCGTTCAATGGCTTCAGGAAGCCATCTTTTAGTTATTTTCTCCAGGAGACAACAGAAGCTTCATAGGATTACATGTATTCCTATTAAAGCAGAATTATTTTTTTTGATTTCTGACACCTATCCAGAGATTACTATCCCTAGTTAGCAGTATGTATTTCTGTAAGTAATCTTGAGTAGTTTCTCTATTAAGTGAGCAAACCTAGATTTTCAAAGGTTTCACATATCTACTGCTCCTGCAAGCTTCAATGAAAACTCAGCTGCAATTACAAGAGCAGCCTTTGCTCAGTGTCCAGAGCCAGAGTCAGAAGGAAGCAAGCGTTTGAGTATTCCTAAGTGGATGGGATTTCAAACTCCTCATCTATCCAAGAGGGAAGGGGAAGAGATAAAGGACAGGTCAATATTTGGCCTTCAACAAAAAGCCTTTACATGGACTTACCTGAGCACCACAACAATGGGGCTTTCACTTCCAGTAATGACGATCAGCCCCTTCCATATCATAAGGGCAGAAGACACTATCATAGCAAAATTTAAGACCTGGTAATACAGCTGTATGAAACAAGAAAATGGTTTTTAAAAGTT